ACGCACACGCAGACACACATACACACTTACACATGCACTCACGCACACACAGACACACATACACACTTACACATGCACTCACGCGCACGCAGACACACATACACACTTACACATGCACTCACGCACACTTACACATGCACTCACGCAAGCACACATACACACGGACTTACATATGTTCACACACACTCATTTACACATACACTCATGCACGTACATACACTCACAAGTACTCAAACATGATACACATACACACATGAAAGCCCACTCACAAACACTCACACAATGCGCGTACTCACACACATACAAAGACATACTCAAAGCACACATAAATACCCACACTGCACCCACATATATATATACACAAGCATAAATAGTTAGGTCACCAAAGAATTTACAGAAATGAAGCGAGCTGCAATCAGTCCACACAAGATCGAACAAAGGTAATGAAACAATCTCTTGAGTCTGAAATCTTTCACCAACTCTCCGAACCTGCTGCCACTTTCTCTCACTCTCCTCTCCTTCCAACCAAAGACAGTCACACACAAGAAAAAAAGCACACAAGGAAAAAAGCACAAGGATTCCTCGGCTTAGGTCTTCGTCATCAATGGGAGGTGAATATTTCACAGATAAAGTACAGCTTCTTCATTGTTGTTTGTCCAAAGTTAACACTAATAACACGAGATAAAAACAAAAGGCTGTCTCATCTTTTCAGGGATTTGCACACCAGTCTAAAAGTTGGATGACCAACAGAATCTAAAATCGCTGTCAGAAAACATTGCACTAAGGAGGCAGGGTGGTGTCACGGTCTTAAAATGACCAATTAGTAGGCTATTTTACTGTAAATCATTTATTCTAGTAAGTGATCCTGTGCATGCATGCACCCAAAGAGCAGCTTCTAATTTAGGGCCTGAATAAAGAAACTTTATTTACTACAGGATCAAGATTTAAAAATAAATATTCTTGCCTTGATTGGTTACTGGCCTATAGGAGTACCACGCAAAGTTATATGGTTGTTTTTAAGGACAAGCGGGCCAACCCAGATTTCGGGGTTTTCCAAAAATCTTGACCTACATCAAAAGTGGGTTTTGCACTACCTGTAAGAGAAGTTTGGTTTCATTGCTGTGTATATTTGTTTTGTTATAAGAGAAAACTCTCCTTGTCTTTTAAAAAAACTGAACACGAGGCAAAAACTTTACCTTCCACTTTCTTAAAACAGCATTTTTCGGGATAACCCCCGGTGCTTAAAAGCGCCCATATGTGCCTTTGAAACTAATAAATAAATGATGTAGAGCCTTTTTACCGGGGACAGACAAAAATGAACAAACAACAGACTAATTAACAAACAATAGGCTAATGAGTAAACAACAGGCTAATGAACACAAAGGATAAATTATAATGCCCGGGAATCCCAAGTTACTTCACACACATTTCTCCCTCTTCCTAGTGTATTTCCCTCTCTCTTACACTTAAACACACTCTCTTCCTAGTGTATTTCCCTCTCTCTTACACTTAAACACACTCTCTTCCTAGTGTATTTCCCTCTCTCTCACACTTAAACACACTCTCTTCCTAGTGTATTTCCCTCTCTCACACT